CCCTGCAGCCGCTGCAGCGGGCCCATCTCAAGAAGATGCTGTTGAAGGATCCCAAGTGAGCCCTGGGGGATGTACCGACTTGGACAAAGAACAGAGCTCTGTACAGGACATGTCCAGCCAGACTTCTTATCTGCAGGAGGCAACTTCTGGCGAAGGTTCCTTGGGGTCTACCAGCAAAGAAGGCGACCAGGATTCCCATGGGCTGCTTACACCTAGGAAGAGCCTTAATGAAGAGCCTAGTGCCCAGCCTTTCACCTCCCAGGCTTTCAGAAGTCCTTTTCCCAGGGAGAGCTTGTCCAAGGACAGAAATGAAGTAGAATCTACTCTTGCAGCTACAATGCACTTGGAGCCATCCCAAACACCAGACGTGGCTCCCACTCCCCCGAATTACCTGGAGAAACTCCAGAGGCCCCAAAAGCCCCGAATGAGAAGTTCTGTTTCTCAGGGAACAGAAATAGAAGCAAACGTGGCTCATGCAGCACAACAAAACCCGTTACTTGACCAGTCACATTTGAGCTTAGAAGTGGAAGCGCCAGGTACAGGGAGCGCCCATAATGCCGGACCTCAGCTCCCAGAAGAAAGTGAAGCCCTTGCCCTGGAGCAGCATGCACAGCCTTCTCTTCCTGAGCCTGAATCCAGCTCGCCCCTAGCCCCTGTGCTTGGCACTGAGATGCTCAATCACCCTGTGAGCCCAGCGCCCGGCACGGCCCTAGCCCCTGTGCCTGACGCCAACCAGCTCACCCAACCTACAGCTCTTGTACCCAGTTTGCCCCTGGCTCCCATGGCTGATGCTGACCAGCTCAATCTCCCTTCACCTTCTGTGCCCAGCTCGCCCCTGGCTTCTGTGTCTGATGCCGACCAGCTCATGCACCCTCCAGCTCCTGCGCCCAGCTCGTCTCTAGCCCCTGTCTCTGACACTGACCAGCTCATCCACCCTCCAGCTCCTGCGCCCAGCTCACCCCTGGCGCCTGTGCCTGACACCGACCAGCTCACCCACCCTCCGGCTCCTGCGCCCAGCTCTCCCCTGGTGCCTGTGCCTGACACCGACCAGCTCGCCCACCCTTCGGCTCCTGTGCCCAGCTCGCCCCTGGCACCTGTACCTGACACCGACCAGCTCGCCCACCCTTCGGCTCCTGTGCCCAGCTCGCCCCTGGCACCTGTACCTGACACCGACCAGCTCGCCCACCCTTCGGCTCCTGTGCCCAGCTCGCCCCTGGCACCTGTACCTGACACCGACCAGCTCGCCCACCCTTCGGCTCCTGTGCCCAGCTCGCCCCTGGCACCTGTACCTGACACCGACCAGCTCGCCCACCCTTCGGCTCCTGTGCCCAGCTCGCCCCTGGCACCTGTACCTGACACCGACCAGCTCGCCCACCCTTCGGCTCCTGTGCCCAGCTCGCCCCTGGCACCTGTACCTGACACCGACCAGCTCGCCCACCCTTCGGCTCCTGTGCCCAGCTCGCCCCTGGCACCTGTACCTGACACCGACCAGCTCGCCCACCCTTCGGCTCCTGTGCCCAGCTCGCCCCTGGCACCTGTACCTGACACCGACCAGCTCGCCCACCCTTCGGCTCCTGTGCCCAGCTCGCCCCTGGCACCTGTCTGCCCAGCCTCTGCCTCCTTTGTCCAACGCCAACCCATCTCGAGAGTGTGTACTGGACTCTGGTCAGGTTCTGGCCACTGCTCCCACTCCCGGCTGCCCGGCTCAGGCTCCAGCCTGTGTGCACATTCTGCTCCCTGCCCCTGCTGTTGAAGATGGAGAAGAGAATCCCCTCCTAATGCAGATGACCCAAGAGGAAATGTCTGCTGTCCAGTGGGACCCTGTCATCTCGCTTACCCCAGATGTGGTAGACACCAGTGACTCAGGGGTCACTTCATTGGCCAAGAGCTCAGATTCTTCCATTTTGGACAATGAGGCACCTATAGGCCACAATGACTGCAACCCTGAAGTAACGGGTCAGTACTTGGCTACACACAGTAGAAAGTCTACACCTGATAGCTCCTGTCCCTCCCTGGGAGGGTGGGGAACATCCACAGACTCTCAGGGTAGAGATTCAACACAGCCACCCCCAGTATTAGCTTTCTCCAACCCAATCCACTTCCTGCAGGTCAGCCCTCCCTCACCACCAGCCATCAGAACACTGTTCCGACAGGAGGCTGTCTTCGAGGAAATGCAATGGGACCAGGCACAGGCAAGCCCCACCAGCGTGGATGTGAGGAACACAGTAACCCCTGCAATGGTGACAGAGACAGCAGAGGGCCCTACTATATACAAGCAAAGGATGAAAGGGCAGGAAGAACCACCTTACCTTGCGGCCCAGGTGAAAGAGGTGGTGGCCAGACATGCTCCCTTGGAGAAGTCATCAAGCTGTCCAGATAAAGTCATCAGGGTGGGCATGAAAGAGCAGGGACTCGGTTCAGGGAGTCAGGAAAACGTGATCAAACGCCGAGCAAAAAGCAAAGACTGGCACCGACAGGGCCTGAAGAAGACATCAGTGCTGTCAAGCAGCTTACAAGGTGAGACCCCTCTATTCCTTCTGGTGTGCCAGATACCAAATCTGAGCCTAAAACAAATGATGGAGGACTGGGAGAATTAAAACAGCTGTAGCCAGAGATCCCCTTCCAAAACTACCCACACATGGCTTTGCCAAAGCCTCTCTACCCTGCCCTGCAGCCTCCTTGCTATTCCTTTCCTGGGCTCTGCTAACACCCTCAGTCCCTTTGGAAATCACTAAAATTAAATCACCCCTTATCACTAAAATTGAGCTGAATTATTGGAGTTTCCATAGATAAAATATAATGTGAAGCAAAGCTATTTGTGTGCTTTGGACTACTCTACCCAGCAGCACACCCAGCTCCTATTTCATTAAATTAATTCCGCCTCAATTACCCGCCCAGCATCTCTTCTCACCACCATCCCAGCCGGTGAGGGCGGGGGGCTGGACTCGATGACCTCTCGAGGTCCCTTCCAGTCCTATTATTCTATGATTCCATGATTCTATGATTCTATCCCAGCTGTCTCCTCCAGCTTCCCTTCTCTCCTGCCTTGCCTGCCCAGTGAACCCCTCCCTCACGTGTATGCCTACACAGCATTTTGGAACAAGCTTCCTAGTGCCAGTTAAACTGAAGCTCAGGCTCTGAAGTTTAAGGAAAAAAGGTGGGCTCTGGAGCTAGGTTCCCTGCAAGCTGCGTGCCCTTGTGGGCACACAGCCCTTCTCTGAGCCCTGCACAGAGGTTCAGAACTCCCTGTGCAGGCAGGGAGCTCAACTGATTGGCTAAGAAAAAGGGGGACGGGACACTCACCCTCTCAGAGCAGCAGCTGCTGCCTGCTATAAATGGAGAAGCTGGCTCCCGCTTTACTCCAGGGGTGTGGGGGCGTCATTTGAGCTCCCCGCCTCAGGTGCCAAAATGTTGTGGGCCGGCCCTGATGCTGAGAGCCTGGACAAAAAGATGATCTGAAGGCTGGATCTGGGCGCAAGGGCCTCAGCCAGCTCCCTGACTGCCCTGCATCTGCTTGGCACTCCGGAAACCCAGGTGCAGGGCCATGTCTTTGTTTCTGAATGCTGAGCAGGGCTGGCCTTACCATGAGGCAAACTGAGGCGGCTGCCTCAGGTGCCAGACTGTGGGCGAACTGAGGGGGATGCCACTAAGATCCAGAGTGTAGAAAATTGTGTCTGCTGCTGGTGCACATGTATTCTCTCTGCTCTAGATGCACAGAGATGGTGGAGTGCTGTGCTGGAGGAAGGAGGGCACAAGAGACATAACAGGCAGGCTGGAGAAAAGAGCATGGGGGCGTCATTTGAGCTCCCCGCCTCAGGTGCCAAAATGTTGTGGGCCGGCCCTGATGCTGAGAGCCTGGACGGAGGGGAGACAGGCTTCTCATGCTGTCCCTGCCCCCAGTAGCTCCCCTTGGCTGGTTTTGACCAATAGCAGCTGTCTGTTTGCAGGACAGGCAGCATGTGAAGTGCTCCTCCTCCAGCATCCCCTGGGCTTGCAGCATTCAGATCAGAGAAGTAAACATGGCCCCTGCAGCATGTACAGGGCCTGGAAGGCAGGGACCCTGGCTAAGGAACCTGCTGGGCTGCTGACTGGGAGCCAGGTAAGGTCTCCCAGCCAGAGCCTATCTCTGGCACCCCAGCCCCTCCCTTCCTCCCCCAATCCTTTGCCTCCTTTCTGCCCTCCTACCCCATGTAACCCAAACCTTCTGCACCCCTGCTCTAGCCCCTATGCACTTTCCCAGACACTGCCTCCCCTCCTACACCCTTCCTCAGATCACAACTACCCCTCAGACCTTGCACCCCAATCTGCTATCCCTGGTTACAGCCCAAAACCCTGCACTCCCCCCTGCCCCAGGACACAACCCTCTCCCAGACCCTGCATCATGTCCTCTCCCCAGTCTATTGACCCAGGTCACAATCCCCTATTGCACCCAAACTCCCTCCCAGATCCCACACCCCAATCCCTTACCCCAAGCTCCCTTCTGCACCCAACCTCCATCCCAGGGTATGTCTACAATACCCTCCTAGTTCAAACTAGGAGGGTAATGTAGGCATACCGCACTTGCAAATGAAGCCCAGGATTTGAATTTCCTGGGCTTCATTTTACCTAGTTCGTGCCGCGTGTAGCCGCGCGGTACGGGGTTCGAACGAGCAGGGATTTAAAAATGGCGGTACCCAGTTTATGCAAATGAAGCCCAGGAAATTCAAATCCTGGGCTTCATTTGCAAGTGCGGTATGCCTACATTACCCCACTAGTTCGAACTAGCGGGGTAGTGTAGACATACCCCCAGACCCCTGCACCTCTGCCATTAATATAATGGAAGAGTGCGGCCCTTGACCACTTACCAAATTCTTGGAGTGGTCCCCATTAAAAGTTATTGCCCATCCCTGTGTTAATGACTTAAGATGAGAAAGAGAAAGATTCTTTTAACATAATTGTTTTGAGGGTTGCAGATATCTAAAACTCTAATCTTAATTATTTTTAAAAATCCTGTGTTACTAATTAATATGTGGTAAACTAATTTCCATAAAGGACAGATCTTTGCTATCTGGCAGGTTCTGGCTCTTATGAGTCAGAAGCAGCAAGTACCAGGTGTGATGCTAGCATTTTTGTAGAATGAAACCTTATTTGCAAAATCTTTGAAACATGCATCTGTCTGTTAGAAAGGATGATGATATATGTATTCCAAAGTAGCCGTGTCAGTCTGTAACTAAAAAAATTAAACAATTTAACAAAGAAATATAAATAGTATCATGGGCTTTCGTGGGCACAACCCACTTCTTCAGCCACAGGTAGTGTTAATTTTCTTTTTATTTGATTTCATATTAAATAAACATAAGCACAGCTCTTTGTTAATTATCCCTTGTTCAAATATATTTTCTTCCACACCTATGGACTATTTACAGCATATTTATATCTACAGTTTTTGTTTGTACTGATGGGTGCACATCCATACACTACCTCAATATTGGTGTTGCACAAGAAATTTCAACACACCCAAAAGAAAATTCAACCTGCCCAAGGACGGAAAATCTTAGCGGGAACACTGCTTTGGAGCCCAAGCTGCAATTATAAAGCTCTGTCTACACCAGGGGTGGGCAAAACATTTTTAAGTAGGCCAGCCACCCCAGAAGGGGCGGGGCCTAAACGGGAAAGGATGGGGCCTAAATGGGAAGGGGCGGGGCTACCCCAGACCATGATTGGGCTGGGGGTGGGGGAGCCTCTTTGCCCCCCCTTCCCACTAGGCACCCATGACTTGGAAGAGGCTTGGCATGCTCCCCCACCCCCAGGCCAATCAGGATCTGGGGGCAGGGAAGCGCGGGAAGCCTCATCCCGGCCTGCGAGGAGCATGTGGCACTTTGAAATGCCACAGCTCTTGCAGGGCCAGGGAAGAGTGAAGGAAGCTTCACACAGCTCCCCGCCCCCAAGCCCTGATTGACCTGGGGGTGGGAGAAGCCTCCTCCACTTTCTCCCCTTCCCCCCACCCTGTGAGCAGCGCTTCAAAACGCCACGTGCTTCTGGCAGGTCGGGCGGAGGCTTCATGCGCTTCCCCGCCCCCAGAACCTAATTGGCGGATCCAGCCCACGGAAGCCCTTTTTCCTACCCCTGGTCTACACAGCTATTTTTAGAGCACTAGCAGGGGCACTGTTAGCCTAAATCTGCCAGAGGGTTGCCAGGCAACTGGTTTTTTTTTTTTTAACAGAAAGCCCAGTCGAAAAGGGATCTTGGCAGCTCCAGTCAGCACAACTGATCAGGCTGTTAAAAGTCTGGTCAGTGGCACAGAGGGGCTATGGCAGGCTCCTTGCCTGTTTTGGCTTCACGTATCTCAGAAACGGCCGGCAGATCCAATTCTCAGGTGGGGAGGCACTAGGCAACTCAACACGCTACCTGTCCCAAGCACCAGGTCTGCAGTCCCATTAGCCGGAAACCACAACCAAGGGGAGCTGCAGAGGCATTGCCTGTGGGTGAGAGCAGCCCCTGGAGCTGCCTAGTGCCCCTGCCAAGGAGTCACACTTGTTGGCTGTTTCTGGGGTACAGTGTGAAGCCAAGCTAACACCTCTGCATCGCTGACTGGGAGCTGCCAGAGATAAGCCTCCACCTGAACCCTGAGCCCAACCCCCACACCCTAGTTCTGAGACCTCCCAAACCTGGAGTCCTTTCCTGCACCCAAAACCCCTCATCCCTGCCCCCATCCCAGAGCCTGCACTCTCTCCCACAACCAAGCCCCAAGCCTGAGCCCCCCAAACCCATAGTCCTTTCCCATACCCCACATCCCCAGCCCCACTCGCCCAGGTCAGAGCCATCACCTCCTACCCCCCTCACCCGCTGCCCCAGCCTAGTGACAGTGAGTGAGGATGTGGGAGAGCAAGCCACCATGGGAGGGGAGGATGTAGTGAGAAGGGGGCAGGGAAGTTGTTTAGAGTTTTGGGGCCAGAACATCTTCAAGGAAAGGCTCAGATTTTCAGAAGTGACCAGTGACTTTGAGTCTCTCGGGTGGTGGGCGCCCACCTTGAGTCACTTTAAAGGGTCATCACTTCTATAAAATGCTGAGTCACCCACCACCTGAAAAATCAGGCAATCTCCCTGCATGTCAAATTGGGCACTCAAGTCATTGTCCTATCCTCTACCTATTTGGTGGATTAGAAATATATGTGTATGAAAGATAAGAACTGTTGTCTAAATGAGGGGTGTGAAGTGTTAAGTAAATGCCAAGCTGCAGCAGAAAAAAAAAAACCTACCAAAAAATCCCCTTAGGAGTGCACTGGTCCCAGTTCCAGAGTACTGCCTCTATATGCACAGGGTTTGGGATATGGTACCCTCACACTGAATCATGTCCTTAAAGGTAGCTACTTGGAATCTCTCTCACCTCCTGTCTCATTGGCAGCAAGCGGGATAACCTCTCTTGTCCTTTCAGAGGAGAGAACATTCAAGGACCAGCCAGTTAGCCCAGACACGGTTATATTCCGGTGAGTCTCCCATTTGCTTCTAATCCCTTCCACTTGAGATAAAGACACTCAAAACTTTCCAGTGATTCCTTAGAGACCCAAGAAACAGACTGAGAAAAGTGTTCTGAGAAAATGACATTTTATCTAAGCTTCATCCCAGGCTGCCCATGCAACAGGATCCCCTTCCTTGAGGGGCAAAGGGGGATTCATGACCCTTTACTTCTGATTTTTCATCCCTCTGACAATGGCCCTTTGTAGTAGAATAAGGAATGCAGACTCTGAATATGATGGAGAAAGAAATCACAGCTGTTCCAGATTAATTACCGAGCTCTGGATATGCTACATCCAGAGCAGCATTTTTTATTTTCCTTTATCCCCTTTCATCCCACACCTTCTCCCCTTCCACACAGGGAGAAGAAATCTGCAGCCAGCCTGGAGAACTTCAAGCGCCGACACTCCAAACTGATCAACTCCTGTAAGTACCTCCCACCTAAGTACTCTAGACAACCCCAGCCATTTCCTTTCCCCCATGGAGAGCTGAGAAGAAGGGATCTGCAGCCCCTTGAGAAAGTGAGGTTAAGCGGGAATGTCAGTGAGAGCAGAGAGCGAGGGCAATGCAGCCATCACCATTGTTAGAGATGTGCAGTGCTGTACTGGTGATGGGTGCCTTATAAACACCACAGACTGCAATGTGCCCATTTGTCTCAGACTGACAGTAATGGAGACAGTAATGGAGCCCTCTCCCCACACGGAGAACTCAGTAGGAAGGGGAGCCGCTGCTTTAGAAAGAGCATGAATTGTAGGCCTCTCTCCACAGCAAGGTTACTGTATCAGGAATACAGCGACGTGGCTCTGAACAAGGCAATCCAGAGCCAGAAGAGAGCTGACTCCTTGGCAGAGGACTTAGAACTGAGCTCTCCAAGCTCTCCGAGGTTAAGAAGGAAAGTGCAATCTCCACAGAACTCTTACCTGCAGCGTCTTTCGGTCTCGTCCAATGCATCCCTCTGGCAGGAGATCCCCATGATCAGAGGAAGCAGGATGCTGCTGAACATGTCCCGAGATGATCAGAAACTGCAGGAGGTAATGGATGGGTGCTATAGGCACACGGCTGGGGATTGGCTGGGTGGGACAGCTTAGACGGATGGACAAATCAGAAATGCATGATACTGAGATGCAGATGGGTGAATAGGAAGAGAAATGATCAGCAACGTGAATGTGTATCTAGGTTAAAAGGAAGCTTGGTACCTGTGGCTATGAGCTAACTACACCCCGCAGAGTACGGAAAAGGTGTACAAGGGTAAGGAGCAGGGTGATGGAACCCAGCAGTACATTATACAGGCAGTCCCCGGGTTACATGGATCCGACTTACATCGGATCCCTACTTACAAACGGGGTGAGGCAACCCCGCACTAGCTGCTTCCCCCCAGCAGACCAGGGAGACGCGGAGCGGCTTTTCTCAGCAGACACCTCAGCTTGAGAATAAAGGACTGATGGAAGTGAGGTGTTGGAGAATAAAACTGAGCTCTGGAGATATGTTTGGCTAGAGTTTCCCCTACAATATGTACCAGTTCCAACTTACATACAAATTCAACTTAAGAACAAACCTACAGTCCCTATCTTGTACGTAACCCAGGGACTGCCTGTACAAAGACACATTTTGGAGGCATTAAGAAGCCTTATGAGCAAGGTACACTAGGACGAAGCGTTAGGGACATCAGCATGGAGGAGATCCCCTGGGTCCTGAAGTCCAGTCTTCTGTTATTGAAACAGACCAGGCATGGAAGAAGCGGGAGATTACTCTAGTCAAGACTATAACTGCTGTGGGGAAAATAATACCGGGATCAAAAGTTGGCCATTGAGAACAAGAGAGGCTGTGCAGGAACTGGAGGACACTGGGCAGGCAGATTCAGAGAAGTGGTATAGGAAGGAGAAGGGAAATCAGGAGAAACAAAGGTAGCAGGGGGATAAGAGAATCCAGGGAAGTAGGAGAAAATTAGGATGTGGAGGGAATTTGAGGATCTTGAAAGGGGATTAAGAGGTATAGCCAAGGAGATCAGACAACTCACGAGTAAGGCCACTCTCGAGGTCTTTCCATCCCAGGAAATATATAGATGAAGAAAGAACAGGCTGATGTCCCCAGCTGTTTCTGCCAGCCTCCCTCCCACCAGGCCTCCCTCCATTAGTGCAGTATGCATCTCTTTATACTGCCTGGTTAGAGAGAGCTTTTCTGGCACTGGACTCTTTATTGTCCTTCAGTAGCACCTCGTTTACATCCCTCATAGACATGCCTGCTATGCTGAGACTGTGTCCCTCCTTTTTCTCCTCTACAGGCCAAGTTTGAGTTGATTATGTCAGAGGCTTCATACTTGCGCAGTTTAAACGTGGCGGTGGATCACTTTCAGTGCTCATCAGAACTCCAGGTGCTCCTCACCAATCAGGAGCACAAGTGGCTTTTCTCTCGCCTGCAAGAAGTGCGTGATGTCAGTGCCTGGTGAGTCCTGGTCCTTCACTTCAGAGACCTCCAGCATCTGTGAAGTGCAGAGACAGCCCCGGGATGGAAAACAAAAATCGGACCAGTCAATAGACCTCTCACCCCTACTCTATGTGTCCATTCAGTCCTGGGGAACACCATTTCCTCAGAGGGACAGCTACCTTTCCTGGAACAAATCTCAGTCCTCCTCTGGGTGAGAGAGTAATTAAGAGACTTGTTCATTTAGTGTGGTACATGTAGAAGTTATGTTGCATTTGTACACACAGATGACAGCAGGACACCGCCACCAACCAGAACACAGGCCCCACCTAAGCTGAACCGAAATAAACAAGAATGATCAGGAAGGAGACTTAAGCCCAAATCTAGCACCAAGCAGACATAACCCACTTTAAGAAAACTAGAGTCATATCTGGCAGATCCCAACCTGGCTCAATCCAGCAACAGCCATAAGCCTGAACCAGACCAGTGCCACCACATGCCAGACATTTTGATGTCCCTTCTATTATTTCAGAGCCTTTATTTTTCTCCTGTAAGGCTTGGCTGAAGTTATTGGTTCTTAGCCACTTTTTACATGTCTACTACAAAGCTGAGTTGTGTTTGTTTTAAACTCTCAGATCCTTACGACTGGGCCTTCAGCAACGGTAATCTAGATTTTATAAGAGCTGAAATCCCTTCTGCCTTAATTAGGGTGTATTTTGTAATTCCCCAGCTCTCTTTCACTCTAGAAAACAAACCCCCACCACCCAGATCTCTTCTGTCACCCAAAAGTGGAGAGAAACCTTGTGGTTAGTGTATGGGCCTTGTGCATAGCACAGCAAGGGAAGGAAAAGGGTGGCTGATAGAGACAAAAGGACCTTCTTGCTTTTCTTGTGCTCTCCCAGTCTGTCTGTACCCATCTACCGTCTCTTGTCTTATCCTCAAGAGTCTTAGCTTCTTGAGGTAGGGGCCATCTTTTTGTTCTATGTTAGTGGAAGGCCTAGCACGGTGGGATCCTGGCCTATGACTCTGGTAACTAAGGGCTATAGTAATACAAGTAACAAACACCACCATCACCGATCACTGCACATCACTAATGGAGTTTCTCTCTCTTTTCATGGTGACGTATGGGGCACTACAGCTTCCTCTTCGACTTGGAGGAGAAATTTGAGGAGAACATGTTCAACTTCAATGTGTGCGATGTGGCTCTGAGGCACGCTCCAGAATTCCGCCGGGTGTATCTTCCATATGTGACAAATCAGACCTACCAGGAGCAGATTTTCCAGAGGCTCATGTAAGAACGTTGTTTTGTTCCTGTCCCTCCTTGCTGCCCCTCATAGGTGCCCTTTATCAAGCAGGGAGAGCTGAGCAGTTGTAGGTTGCTCCCAGGTGGTCATGCACTGTCTACTGGGGGAGGGAGGACACAACAGTTGTCAAAGTCTTCAGTGTTACAGAAATAATCCTTTGCAGGAAGATGAATCAGCATCTGATTCTGCTAAGGTTGCTCCCAGGTGGTCATGCACTGTCTACTGGGGGAGGGAGGACACAACAGTTGTCAAAGTCTTCAGTGTTACAGAAATAATCCTTTGCAGGAAGATGAATCAGCATCTGATTCTGCTAAGTATCAGAGCCCCTTGCGGGACAAAGCAGAAACACCAACGTTACCACTGTGGAAGCAACCTACCCATTGAGGGGGGAATTGGAATGTGGCTATTCCCCCATCAGGAAAAGCCTCCCCATTCCAAAGGGCTCCATCTCACCAGGGGACTGCTTCTCTTGCCCAGCAAAAGAGGCAGTGAACAGGGAAGTGGCAAAGTGTGCAGACGATACATTATTCAAGATAGTGAAGTCCAAAGTTGACTGTGAAGCGTTACCCAGGATGTCACAAACTGGGAGACTGGACAACAAAATGGCAGATGCGACGAGGAGTCCTGTGGCACCTTATAGATTAACAGATTTATTGGAGCATAAGCTTAAGACCCACTTCGTCAGATGCATGTAGTGGAAATTCCAGAAGCAGGTATAAAAATACAGGCATAAGAAAAGAGTACCAATCAAGAGTAAGGCTAGAGATAACGAGGTCAATTCAGTCAGGGAGCATGAGGCCCACTTCTAGCAGCCGATCTGGAGGTGTGAACCCCAAGAGAGGAGAAACTGCTTTTGTATTTGGCTAGCCATTCACAGTCTTTGTTTAATCCTAAAGTGATGGTGTCAAATTTGCAGATGAACTGTAGTTCAGCAGTTTCTCTTTGAAGATTTTTTGTTGCAGAATGGCTACCTTTAAATCCGCTACTGTGTGTCCAGGGAGACTGAAGTGTTCTACAGGTTTTTGCATATTACCATTCCTGATCTCTGATTTGTGTCCATTTATTCTTTTACGTAGGGACTGTCCTGTTTGGCCGATGTATATAGCAGAGGGGCATTGCTGGCACATGATAGCGTATATTACTTTGGTAGATGTGCAGGTGAATGAACCCGTGATGGTGTGGCTGATCTGATTAAGTCCTATGATGGTGTCGCTGGTGTAGATACATGAGCAGGGTTGGCACCAAGGTTTGTTGGTTTCTGAGTTAGAGTTACTGTGGTGTGGTGTATAGTTGCTGGTGAGAATTTGCTTCAGGTTGGCGGGTTGTCTGTGCGCAAGGACTGGCCTGCCTCCCAAAACCTGTGAAAGTGAGGGATCATTGTCCAAGATGGGTTGTAGATCACTGATGATGCGTTGGAGAGGTTTTAGCTGATGACTGTAGGTGATGGCTAGTGGTTTATTTGTTGGGCTTGTCTTGCAGTAGGAGGCTTCTCGGTACACGTCTGACTCTGTTAATCTGTTTCCTGACTTCTTCGGGCAGGTATTGTAGTTTCAAGAATGCTTGGTGAAGAAAGCTTATGCTCCAATAAATCTGTTAGTCTGTAAGGTGCCATAGGACTCCTCGTCGCTTTTGCAGATTCAGACTAATACGGCTACCCCTCTGATACTTAAAATGGCAGATGACATTCAACATTGATAAGTGCAAAGTAATTCACAATAGAAAATATTATCCCAATGACACATGTATAATGGTGGGGTCTAAATTAGCTGCTACCACTCAAGAAAGATCTTGGAGTCACCATTGATAGTTCTCTGCAAACTTCAGCTCTGTGACCAGCAGCAGTCACAAAGGCTAACAATGTTGGGAACTATTAAGAAAGGAATAGAACATGAAACAATCTCATAAAACTACTGTATAAATATACTAGAAGATCTACCCGGCATTGCTTGGGTCTTTAATTCAATTCATTTTTTTTGTTTTTTCTTCATTTAAATCATTGCTCTGGGATGGATATGAGGGTTCGGTATGCAGGCTGCCCTCGGGAGAGAGGACTACTTCAGTCCTCTTTCACTGTAGCAATTTGGGGCCAGGTGAGAAGCACCTCTCCATGGCCACTGTAGATCCAGTGATCACAACCAGGAGAAGAGTGCACATCTCCAAGCTGGGGCAGGTCCAGGTTCGTCTGCCCCCATGATCCCCAGCTAGGGTGAGAAATGCAGCAAACTGTGGAACTCATTGCCATGGGATGCTATGATGGCCAAAAGTATAACTGGATTAAAAAAAAGTAGTAGGTACATTTGCAGAGGATAGGTCCATAAGTGACTATTAGCCAAGATGGTCAGAAATGTGGCTATGGGGCAACCCATAGCCTCTCACCACCGGAAGCCAGGAGGCAAAGACAGTATGGGTCACTCCCTCATACTCTCTTCTATGCATTCCCCCCGGCACCTCTTGTTCTGGCCATTGTCAGAATTAGAATACTGGGCCTGTTGGACAACTGGTCTGACTCAGCATGACCATTCATCTCGGGAAGGAACTAGATCCATGTGGCACCACTGATGCTGAGTATCTAATCTCCCCTGTGGCGTGCCCTCCCAGGCCCCACACCTGCTCCACACCTACCCCCAAGGTTCCACCCACACCTTTCTTCCCATCCTTGCTCTGCTCCCATGCCACCCAGTTCTGCCCCCTCCCAGAGCAAGTGGTGTCTTCATTTCTCCCCCCTCCTCCCACAGCACCTCCTGATATAACAAAACATCTGATCTGTGGAAGTACAGGTAGCCAGAGGGAGGCACACAGATGGTCAGGGTCTACCGGTGGGAAGGAGGTGCTGGGGGAGGGGGAGGTTCTGGTAGGGAGCTGCTAGTGGGAGCACCCACCATTTTTTCTGGGTGGATGCACCAATCCAGGAGCACTCACGGTGTCAATACCTATGGCTTTCTCACTGCCACCCTGCTGAGAGGTCAGTTCCCAAAGGGCCAGCCTGCACACTGCCTCTTCCCCAGCAGAAGGGTTCAGATCGTTTCTCCTGCAGGGAAGGAGCTGCTTCCAAGGTACAAGCAGCTGGCTCTGCTACTTGATCAAGTCAGTCTCTGATCCTGCCTCTCCCCTTGTGGAAGGCGCCACTGCTCTGCTATTCTGTGCAACTCCTAGACATCCCTCTCTCTCTCTCTCTCTCTCGCTGACAGGAATGGAAATACACGGTTCCAGCAAGTCCTGGAGAGACTGGAGAGTGACCCAGTGTGCCAGCGCCTCTCCCTCAAATCCTTCCTTATCCTCCCCTTCCAACGCATCACCCGACTCAAACTCCTCCTACAGGTAACAGCGCTGTGGCCACAGAACAATCCAGCTACAAGGTTAGCTCCTCCCCCACTGCACAAACACAGGTCACTGCCCAGAGATAGGGAAAAAAGAAAGAGCGGAGGGGAACAGGGGGGGAAGTTTGCCTGTTCAATGGCCTGCCTAGCATGGCTGTGATCATTTTTGACAGTTGCTCTGACACCAAAGCAGGCTATATTAGAAATGTTAGACCCTTCCCATCTAGAGTTTAGGAGTTCTTCATGCTCAGCCAAAGTTTTAAAAATACCTTTAGCTGCACTCAGAAGCAAACAGGAGCCAGTATACCATACAGAGTCCCAGTGTGGTGTTCAGCATGCCTACTCGTGGACAGACAAAAGACATCTTGGACAAATAAGAACCATATTTTTGTACCTAGGAAGTTTTGTGCCATGACTAGAGTTAATTTCCCCCTACAGAAGTTATTGTGTGTGATCAGAGCCAGTCTTAGGGGGTGAGCTGGGTGGTCGCTTGGGGCTGCCATTTTCAAGGGGCTGTCAGCAGAGCTGGTTTTTTTTTTTTGCTCAACAAATTTTCCCCAGCGGATTTTTGTTTGTCAAATTTTTGTCCAGTATTTTTTTAAAACCATCTGGCAATCACCTGGGGCCACCAATTGGTTAGGACTGGTCCTGCTTGTGATAGATAAGTCTAGTACTACACCTGCAAAGATGGGAGTAGCACATGTAACAGGAAGGGACCCCAGTTGTCAGCGTGCAGGATCGAATATGGGACCTCTGAAACTAAAAGTATGAGCCTCTACCACATGAGCTGAAAGCGGCATGGCTCTTAGCTTACTAAGGCTGCAGTGCAGACTCACCAATCTCTCTTTCAAAACTAAGAGCGGCCCTGTGGCACCATAGGCTATGTCTAGACTGCAGGCTTCTTTCGAAAGAGCCTCTTTCAAAAGATCGCGTCTAGACTGCAGGCGGATCTTTCGAAAGAGCAATCCGCTTTTTCGAAAGAGAGCACCCAGCGAGTCTGGATGCTCTCTTTCGAGGAAGCCCTATTTACATTGAAGAACGCCTTCTTTCGAAAGAGGAACTTTCGAAAGAAGGCGTTCTTCCTCGTGAAACGAGGTTTACCGCCATCGAAAGAAAAGCCGCGTTCTTTCGAAATTATTTCGAAAGAACGCGGCTTGAGTCTGGACGCAGGGGAAGTTTTTTCGGGAAAAGGCTACTTTTCCCGAAAAAACCCCTGAGTCTGGACACAGCCATAGAGACTAACCAAAGTATATAGAATCATGAGCTTTGGTGGGCAAAACCCACTTCATCAGATGCCTCTCTGTCTCTCTAAGTGGTCTCAGTGTCACTAGATAGGACAGAACACCACGCCCAGGAGGTGGGTGGGTTACACATTCAGATTCCTGTGTTCATTGGTTCTCCTGGCCCCCTGCCCATTGCTCATCCTGTTGTTTCCTTGTCCCTGCCTCCCCCATATCTACACGCCCTTTTCTTTTGTCCTTGGGGTCAATTCTCTTGGCCTCTGTTCTGAGACCCTGCTTGTGCTTGTTCTGCAGAACATATTGAAGAGGACCCCTCCTGAGTCTGATGAAGAAGTGCAGGCCACACAGGCTTATGATGCACTTGAGAAGGTAAGGGGCACTAGCCCACTCTCCACTAGCAGTGCCATAGCCAACACAGCTGTAGGTAGTGAACCCAATGGCTGCAGGGATTCCCAGCAGCATGGAACTTCTATCAGGGACAGACTGAAATGCTCACATGATCTTACTGCTCATCTGTACCACATGCTCCTCAGGGGTAAGCAGGGAGCCCAAGGGCAAGAACTAGCCAGAGACTGAGGCTAGCACAGTCCCTGCTGAAGTAATTTAAGCAAGGGGCTGCTGGACATGAATGATGACAGATAAGTTTCTTTAGTTTTTGTTCTGGGCTCTCTCTCCTATGTGCTGATTGGCTGTTCACTCCCTTTGTCTTTCATTTATCCCAGTGGATTTAAACAGAAACCTACATCGCAGTAACTGCACCTGTGGTCTAGCAAGGGCACCCTCTCTCGGGAGGAGAACCCAAAGCTCTCTCCCTCCTGACCAGAGTTTTCCCAGGATGCACAGGGCCCTGCCTGCACCAAAGTCTGACTTGCAGGAGAACATCTCAGTAGGCCTGATGCGAAAGCATTAGTTGTTAAATTCATGGGGGAGCTTTTTCTGAACTATAAGTTTCTCTTTTTGCAGCTTGTAGCTTTGATATCTCTGTTCCAAGAATAGGTAATCACCAGACAATGGGTTTCTTCCTATGGCACAGCTTCAAAGGGCTGGGTCCAGAGATGGGAATTTGCATTCACCTCCTCCCAAATACTTCCTAAGAAACCCTTTCAACTTTGCTTGTCCCAAAGGCTTTCTTGTCTGGCATATTGTCTAAAGCTTGGAAGCTTATAATGCTGGTCACATCTCCCCCCTAGAAAAGTTGCACACAATTCTACGACAAAAATGTAATGGATTCCAAAGATACTTCATTCAAAATAAGGGCTTTTCAAGGCTACTGCAGGAAACTCCTATATCTGTCTCATAGACACCCCAAAAATCATGGCATTAATGTACCACTCACACAATCAATCTGTATGTGGTTTCTCTTTTCCTGACCTTTTTTCTGTTTAGACTGAAGCTTCTGTGGGCAGGGCTGTCTGGTAATTCCTGTTCACACCATGCCTGGCACAAAAGGGTTCTGCTCCTGGTTGGTCACTATAGTAATAAACATGATAAACAGGGCAATAATTTGTGTTGGAGGGATCATGATGCCACCCTTGTCACTGCAGGTATTTGCCCCCCCGTCCCCCCTCAACTACTCAGATCAGTTTTGGTGCATGGCTTGCTATACAATCCCTCCCCTTCCCAAGTCTCATAGAAGTGAGTCTCCCACAGCACAGCAGCTAGAGTACAGGAATTTGGGACAGCTGGGTGTGGGGAAGAACATCACGCTCTGGTGGTCACCAGTTGGTCAATTGTGATGGACTGGTCAATCCTGGAGAGCCTCCCAGTCGGTCATGAACTCTGGGGGTGGAGCAGGACTGCTGCTAAGGCAGGCTGCTGGCCGACTCTGGTGACATGCTGCTGGCCCATTCCCAGAAGCAGCCAGCATGGCCCTGAGGCCCCACAACTCCTTGTATGTGGAGGGGAGGTAGGGGACAGGAGACTCTGCACGCTGCTCCTGCCTGCAAGCACTGCCTCCTGCAGCTGCCATGGGCCGGGAACTGTGGCCCAAGGGATGGTGCCAGCAGAGAGGGACAGCACATGAAGCCATGTGCCCTCTGCCTCCCACTCCCCCAAGACCAAGGGGCCTGTTGGCCTCTTCTGGGAGCAGCATGGGGCCAAGGCAGACAGAGCTGGCCTTAGTCTCACTGTGCTGTCAACTGGGAGCCACCTGCAGTAAGTGCCACTCATTGGGAGGCCACACTCCAACCACAGCCCCCTCCCATAGCCAGCACCCTATACGCCCCTGTACCCCAAGCGCCAGCCCTAAGCACTCCCCCAGAGCCAGCACCCCATACCCCCTCTCCCTTACCCCAGGTTCAGGCCAGAGCCCCCTACCACACTGCAAACCCCTCAGACCCAGCCCAGAGCCCTCACCCCCTGCCAAATCCCAACCCCCTGCCCCAGCCCAGTGAAAGTGAGAGTGTGTGGGGGACAGTGAGCAATGCGGGGGAGGGGGAGGTGTAGTGAATGGGGCAAGGCTTTGGGGAAGAGGTGGGGTAGATCTTGCTTGGGATGCTGTTAAAATTCAGAAAGTGATCGTCAGCACAAGAAGGTTGGAGACCACCGTCACACGCCCTGGAGCAAAGCGGGTCGTAGATTGTACTTGAGCTAGTCTTGCCAGTTGGCATGTTGCTCCCTTCTGTAAATCCACATTGCTACGCACTGTTAGCGGCTGCTGGGTTTCAATCCCATTAGACATCTCTATACTGCTGAAGAGCATCTTCCTGAAGTGGGGAGAGGGACCACAATTTAGTGGAGGAGGAGCCAAGTCGGAACCATGGGGGTTGGTGGTTATGTATTATCTCATGACATTTCAGTTTTCTGTATGCCTGACATGTTGCCTGTAGGAAGTATTGCTCCCAGCTAATCAGTGACTTGACCAGACTTCCAAGAAATAATAGTATTTTGAAGCATTCACTACTTCCCACAGATCCCGGTATTATCCTAGCACCAAAGAGCCCTTCATGACAGGTGCTGTACAAAGACAGGGCTGACAGCTTGAAACATGTATGGTGCTAGAACTAAATATAAGCAGGAGACAAGAGATTGGAGTACAAAGAAACACTAGTGGTTCACATGATAGCCTGTGATCTTTATATGCCGGCAGCCTACCCCTTGTTGATTTTTTTTGTAGGCATCGCTAACAAAGGTGGGATTTGAACATGGATAGTGGGCAGACTAAACATTTGCAAAACTCAAGTCTGAAGGTGTTTGTTCGAAAATGTAACTAGTAGCCAACAGAGGCTGGTAGCCAGAGGCAGAAGCTGACCCTTTGAGACCGAATGATGGGTAGTAGCATGATGGAGGCTCAGGTGGAGAAAGGCCGTGAAAGGCTTTTCATGTAGAATACAAGTAGCTTAGGTCTGACATGACACAGAAGGGAGTGCCAGTGCAGCCAGGCAGAGCAAGGGGTGTCGTGGTCAAAACAACAGGCTAGGAGAGTGCTCCTTGCAGCAATATTTTTAACAGCTACAAACAGGACAGGCCTAGATTTGTCAAAACCAAACACAAGGAGGTTGCACTAATGGAGACATGAGGGGCAACACACCTTGCTCAGAGCAAAACTCTGTCAGGGACAATACCTTCCTCCTCCCCCCCAGGGAGGAAAAGTTGTTTGGCTGAGAAAGCACAGCATCCGCACTTGGGAAAATAAGCTTCTGGGAGAAAGAGTTCTGAATTTTGTGCCACCTACATCTATTGTATCCACTCCCAACAACCTCTCTCTTCTTCCTCTCTGCAGCTCATAAAGGATTGCAATGAGAATGTCCAGCGCATGAAGAGCACTGAGGAGTTGATCTACTTAAGACAAAAGATTGATTTTGAGTGCAAGGTGAGAACTGACCCACTCTGATTTTTATTTTAGTTTTCCCTACTACCCTGGCCCCACGCCACTCACCCATCACTAGACCCACTCTGATTTTTATTTTAGTTTTTCCTACTACCCTGGCCCCGCGCCACTCACCCACCACTGCGCCCTCTGTCCACCCTCTCCACATGGATGACCTAATATAGATCGCTCAGAAAACAGAGCTGCAGTGCACTGTGAGACACTTGCCCCCTTGCTCAGTAACCTGACCCACTATCGTACATCTACTCAGCACCTCACTCCTGTACAAAGAAGGGAATGAAAGCTGATCTTGGGGTTTACTCCACTGAATTACGCCAGGGACAAGAAGAGGCAGGGGCAACATTTCCCTTGCCCTGGAGCTGGAAGAAGCAGACTCAGGTCATGACTTGCCACCAAAAAGGAGGGGAGATGAGAGCAATCTCATCTTATGTTTTCATCAGGGTTCCAGGTAAACTCCAGCTCCGATGCAGCAACTCCAGTGGCTTTTCTGATCATGGCGTTCTTCCCTCTCCTACAGATATTCCCACTGGTCTCACAATCAAGGCGGCTGGTGAAGTGTGGTGAGCTGATGGCACTGGATTTCAGCAGTTTAAGCGCCAAGTGGAAACTCAGCACCCGCCCCATCTACCTGCACCTCTTCAATGACCGCCTGCTCCTGTCCCGGCCCAGGGAGTGAGTCCCTCAGACTTCACCTCTCACAGATCTCCTTACTTTTGAATCCAGAAAGGGGTGGGGATGTTGGTGATACAGCATCTCTTCCCCATCGCACAACCACCTTTATTGGGTAGATTACTCAATTGAGCAATCTTATATTACATGAAGAGCCTGCAAACTTTATTATGCAGTGCCTTCACTTCCAAACTCTTAATTACCACATTCTTATGTCATTCTACATATCTTGCTTCCCCTACTTCATAGCACAATTTAATTCAGTTTAGTTTTATTAAAGGCTACAGCATTTCTCCCCCAACCTGTTTTTGCTTAAGGACTTTATGGAGACCTGAGAGCCAATGGGAATATGGCATGACAAGAAGCTGAAACCAGAATAATTGAGGAAAAGCGATTCTTTGGTTCTGACTTTTTGTATTAGTTGTAAAATATATTTAACCAGATTCTGATGAAAACTTGGAAGGAAAAATTGCCTGAAAGATTGAAATACTCCTGCCCCATCCCTAGAGGGCTAAGAAAAATCCTGTTCCAATTCTCTGGTCATCCAAAGAGACCTCTAGCAAAAAAAACAGGGAAGATGAGACTTAACATATTTAAGGTAGAAACCCCTCCCCATGCCTGTTAAGTCTTCTTGACCTATCAAGGCAGCAAGAAAAGGCCCAAACCCAATGCTTTAACCTGAGTAAGTCACTTTTAAAGCTAACACAGTTTCTCTAATTCTCCCTCTCTTCCCCTTTAGGAATGGGCGCTTTGTTGTGTTTGATCATGCTGCATTTTCAGATGTGCGTGGGGAGAAGTGTGAGATGAAGCTGCATGGGACAAACAAAAACATTTTCCGCCTTTTTCTACTTAAGAACAACCAGGGGAAAAGAGTGGAATTCCTCTTCCGCACAGAGACACAGTAAGAGCCAGACATTATTCCCACTGACTCCTGACCCCACTTATAGACATGGTTGCAGTTGCCAAAACTCTCATCTAGGGATGTTAGAGGGATTAAATGGTTAGCTGATAATCATTAGCTCAATGGTTAACCTTCGCGGTTAAACTCTATGTCACCGCTGGGTGCCTGTGAGTCTAGAAGCCACTGGGGGCATTTAACCATGTAACTGACTGAAATCTAATCGGTTACACAGTTCGTGGGTTTTTTAATTTCTACATCTCTACCCTGTACCTCTCTCAGCTGCCTTGATTCCAAACATGCCCCGCTGCTTCTGTGATTCAGAAGACACTATTATAATGAAGTTGCACATCTCCCACCCCATTTTCCAACTATCTTACTCCCTGTCATCTTGACCACCTTAATTCCATTCTCTGATCCATCTTTCTCCATCCTGTCCTGAACCCAATA